AGAAAAGACCTGAGAAGATTTTAAGTTTATACTCAGACTGATCCTCAGCTCAGAGTCAGCATACAAAAATTAAAACAAACAAACAAACAAAAAGCACTGAAAAAAACCAGCAAACCCTGAGGAAGGAGGAGAAACTTATTTCAATAGTTACCACATTATTAGGTTCAGATGACTAATTTTCAACAACAAAAAAATCCCAAGGCATACAAGAGACAGGAAAGTATGGCCCATTTAAAGGAAAAAAATAGATCCTGTCCCTGAAAAAGACCTGATGGTCATCTACTGGACAAAGACTTTAAACAACTGTCCTAAAAATACTCTAAGAACTAAAAAAAACATGGAGAAAGTCAAGAAAAAGAATGTATGAATAAAATAGAAATGTCAATAAAGAGAAAGCCTAAAAAGAAACCAGAAAGAAATTCTGGAGGTACAAAGTACGATAACTAAAATGAAAAATTCATTTGAGGAACTCGAAGAATTGGTGAAAAAGCTTTGACAGTGGTAATTATTGAGTCTGAAGAACAGAAAAAAGAAAAAGATGAAACAAAAGTAAGCAGACCGTAAGGGACCTGTGAAACATCATCTAGTAGACCAAGATCTGCATTGTGGGAATCTCAACAAGAGAGGAGAGAGAGAATGGGGCAGAGAAAATATTTGAAAAATGTTTAAAAACTTCCATTCTCAAATTTATTGAAAGACGCGAATATAAACATCCAGAAAACTTAACAAACTCCAAATTGGTTAATCTCAGAGACTCACACCAAGACATAATTAAACTTGAAAGGCAAAGACAGAGAATCTTAAAAGCAGCAAGAGATAAGTGACTCATCTTGTACAAGAGAACCTCAATAAGATTATCAGCAGATTTCTTAGAAACTTTGGAGACCAGGAAGCTGGGGCATACATACTCAAGTGCTGAAAGAAAAACTGTCAACCAATAATTCTCCATTTTGTAAAACTGTCCTTTAAAATGATGGGGGAAATTAAGACATTCCCAGATAAACACTGAGGTTATTTGTTATTGCTAGTCTTGCACTGAAAGAAATGCTAACAGGAGTCTTGAAGACTGAAATAATAAGACACTAGACAGTGACTTAATGCCAAATGAGGAAGTAAGGAGGTCAGTAAAGGTAAATACATAAGCAGTTATTAAATATTGTAATGATGGTTTGTAACTCTCCTTTTTGTTTTCTGCATGACTTAAGAAACTAACACATTTTCTAAAAAGCAACCATTATTCTAAAAGCTAGTATTATAACTGGTTTGTAGTTCCATATTTTGTTTTATACATAATTTAAGAGACTAATGCTTTTTAAAAAATATCTGTTTATGTTTTTGGACACACAAAGGTATAATTATGTAAAAATATGATTTTGTGGCATCAACAACTGAAAGAAGTGGGATGGAGATGTAAAGGAGCAGAATTTTTGTGTTATTGAAGTTAAACTGGTACAAATCCAAATTCGAGTATTATAACTGTAGTATATTAACTGTAATTCCCATGGTAACAGAAAAGAAAATAGATACAGAATATATACAAAAGGAAATGAGAGATGATTTTAAATGTTTACCAAAAAAATCAACACAAAAGAAGACCGTAGTGTAGGAAATGAGGGACGGACAAGCTACAAAACGTATAGAAAACAAATAGGAACATGACGGAAGTAAGTTTCTTCATGTTGGTCAGCCTTAAAAAGGAAGGAAATTCTGACATATGCTACAATATGGATCAACCTTGAAAACATTGTGTTATGTAAATAACCAGTCACAAAAAGATAAATACTGTATGATTCCACTTATATGAAGTACTTAGAGTAGTCAAAATCATAAGAAACAGGAAGTAAAATGGTGATTTCTAGGGTCTAGAGAGGAAGGGAGAATGGAAAATTCTTATTTAATAGGTATAGAGTTTTAGTTTTGCAAGATGAAAAGAGTTCTGAAGTTGGATAGATGGTGATGGTTACACAATAATATGAATGTGTTTAATAACACCCACATATACACTTATAAAGAGTTAAAGCGGTAAATTTTGTGTTGTGTGTATTTTACTACAACTAAAAACTTGAAAAAATATACATGAACATTATATAATTATAAGGATCCTTAGCTCTTTCATAAAGCAGAGGATATTATTATAATGGAATATCTGCTTTCTAGGCAAATTACACAGAAGGTATATAGTAAGCAAAATATTATCTTTTTTTAGATACTCTAAGATCAATTTATTGTTCTCAGAGAAAGCCAAGTTCTGTTTTTTTATTAATATTTGTCAGTAAAAGTTTCTCAAGCTTTTTTTTCTTCTTAATGACTAAACCCACTAAAACTGTATTCTTTGGTAAAATTTTGACACATTTCATTGAGCAAAGGAACCCGAGTTTTGGAGTATTGTTTTGGTGCTCTAAGGCAGTTCGAGCAGTAAAAATAAGATGTACACACACAACTGTAATTCAGACAAGTGTATAAGTACTACCATATGGTGTTTGGTTGGACTGGCTCAACATTTCTAAACATTTGAATTTGAAAGTTGTTTGAGAAAGGGAATGCCATTATCCCAACAGTATTTTGTAAAAATTATGAACTAATATATACAAGGAATAAAAAGGAGAGATTAGAAGCAGAGATTTAATTTAAGAATTTTCCCTTTTCCCTAATCCCAACTCCAAGTAATCAAACACTAATATAATGAGTCTATATTAGGATGGACAAGGGATGGAAGTTTAGCCTTTCTACTTGTACAAGTTGTGATTTCCTTAGCTTTATTTATACCTTCCATCCAAACTTAGCTCTGGAGTCACATCTGTCCAACTTTATCACTTCCAAGCTGAGCTGACTCACCTTTGTGCTTCTTCAACACTCTGGTTAACTTACTCATCTTCCCCAATAGTCTTTGCTAGGGATTGGCAAACAGTGACCTGTAGTCTGACGTCAGTCTGTTGTCTGTTTTGTAAATAAAGTTTTATTAAAACAGTTATATTTATTTGTTTGCATGTAATATGTGGCTGCTTTTATATTACAGTGGCAAAGTTGAGTTGAGACAGACCATATGGCTTGCAAATCCTAAAATATTTACTTCGCAGAATAAATTTGCTGACTCATGTCCTTTGAGCTCTTTTCTTTACATTTTTGTCTGTTCCTGTACCTATCCAGGTATATCATTGCTGCTGAATACTTTTTTTGTCAAATTATAAAGGAGTATAGGTATGGGAAATATGATAACAAAAAAACTTATCTGTAGAATGAGGTGTAGGTGATTTCTAGATGTGTTCCAGTTCTACAGGTAGACTGCGTAACAATAAGATTTAACTAAAGTTTTCATCTTCTTTTTGTACTTGTTCCTGATCCCTCTCTTGTTGAATTAATTGCTCTCTCAGTGTAAAGTTTGTTGTATGTATTATTTATTACTCATATTACAAATTATTATTATTATAGGTATTTGTTTATTTTTTACCACTGTATGAACTCCTTAAAGTCACAACTGTATTTCACTTTTCTACTTGTAGTGTCTTATGCAAATGTGGAAAGGAACTTAAAAATTCGTGTAGTCCTTAGTAATAATCTATTGAACTGAACTGAGAGGCTTGCTTTTTTAAGAAAATAAATTTTTAAATATTAATTTTAGGTTATTTTAATTCAATATTTGTTCTTTAGAAAAAATACTGAAGAGATAAGAATAAAAAGTAAAGCTTGTTACTTACCTTTCATTCTGTTTTCTGAAAAATTTCTTCCCTGAAGTAAACATTGTTAACTGGTAGTTATCCTTCTATATTTCCTTTATTCTTTCTTTCTAAAACACACCACATGCTCATATATAATTATATAGAGTTCGGGTATGTAATATACATAAACATATACTTAAAAAAATAGGAGTATGCTGTACATACCATTCTACAACTTTCTTTTTTTCACTTAACAGTGTACATAGAAGTACTTCATTCTTTTCAGTGGCTGCATGGTATCTCTAGTACAGTGATATCACAGTATATTTAATCAGGCCTCTTGGACATTTAGGTTATGTTTTTTGCTCTGACAAACAGTGCTGAAGTACACATCCTTGTACACATCTTTTTGTATTTGTGATACTATATCTGTGAGATAAATTGTAAATTACAGTTTGCTCTTTCAAATGGTATGTGAATTTAAAATTTTTACATACTTTGTAAAATGACTGTAATTAACTTCCCACAAATAGGGTATGTGCAGGCTTATTTCCCACATTCTGGCCAACACTGTTTATTATTTTGTTTTTGTCAAGTCAAAATGGTATCTTGTTTTAATTATTAATTTTTTAATTTGAAGGAAGATTAGTATTTTATATATGTGTTCATTGGCTTTTTTTCCTCTCTGTCATTTGCCTTTCCAGCCTTTTGTCCACTTCTCATTTTGGCTGCCATTATTTTTCTTTATGATTTGGAAGCACTTTTGCACATTAAAGAATTAGCAATCTATCAATTGTGTTGCAGATATTTTCTCAAATTATTATTAAACTTTATATATTTTGTCATGCAGATGTTTTAACTTTTATAGAGTCAACTTTGTCACTCGTGTTTTTTGTGACTTGTGGGTTTTCTGTTATGTTTTTAAAGTCCCGCTTCAATAAAAAATTATAGAATATTAACCCATGTTTTCTTTCATTATTGTATAGTTTAATTTTTATGTTTCAAAATGCCATCTACTTGGAATTCTTTTTATATGTTTTTGCTCTGTTTTTTAATTAAATTTATTGGGGTGACATCAATTAATAAAATTGTATAGGTTTCAAATGTATGTACAGTTCAGTAATATGTATATTGCATTGTGTCTTCACTACCCACAGTTAAATTTCCTTCTGTTACCATATGTTTGACCCCCTTTACCCTTATCAATCTCGCCCGCCTTCCCCTGTGGTAACCACTAAAACTGTTGTCTGTGTCTTTGAGTTTTTGTCTTGTTCATTTGTTGCTTTCTGTTTTATATCTCCCATATGAGTGAAACTATATGGTTCTCAACTTTTTCTGTCTGACTTATTTCTTTCGGTATCAGGGCTGAGAAAAAAATGAAGCCTTTTTACTTTCAAGTGGCCAGGTCCAGAGTGTATTTATACATGATAAATGTGGGGAGAGAAAAAACTCAAGAGATGTCATCCAAATTTCCAGCCTGATTTTTTTTTTCTTCTTGTGATTTTTATTCATTTTAAAAAACATTATAAAAAAAAGATACATTTAAAAAGAAAGATCACCCACCATCATACTATCATAAAATATAAATTATTTCCATTTTTCACTCTTTGAAATTTTCTTAACATATTTATTGTGATTTATAAGAGATGCTTCAGTAGCAGTCTCTTACATTTTAAAGTTAGTATGTGCATATGTGTCATTAGGCTTGAATAGCTATGTAATGTTAGTGACTACAAATTAAAAATAAATTACAGCGTAAGTTTTCTTTAAGGATTTATTTCCCTTCAGCCCCAGATATTCATGAATCCTTTAGTAGTCAAGGAAAGAGTACTGTGAAATGTAAATTTTAAAAGACATGACAAATCTGATTTTTTCCCCCCTAGATTTTGGACTGGTTTGTGCAGATATGTTTGGCCTTGAAACATGTACATGATAGAAAAATTCTTCACCGAGACATAAAATCCCAGGTATGTTCAGTCTAAATGGATATGGACATGGAACTGGAATTTTTGACCCCAGTCTAATCTACATCAGATTATCTGTTTTCTCCCTTCACTGTAATCCTAGAAGTCTTCATCAGCATCTTGCCTTAGATCTCCTGCCTACTTCCTGTATCTTCCTCTTTCTTCATTTACTTTCTCATTATAACAGAAAATATCCAAAAAATGGAAGTGTGGAACTTATACTTTTTGAGATTTTGCATGTTTGCAGATGACTGTATTCCATTCTCTTACTTTAATGATACTTTGGATATAAATTTCTAGGTTTCTAGGTT